GGCAAAAGAAAACAGGTTTCAAAAAACAAAAGCTGGGAGAATTCATTGTCAGAAGACTGGCACTAAAATAAATACTAAAGGGAATTCTCCAGGTGAAGGAAAATAATCCCAGAGGGAAGTAAAAAAGGCAGATGGAAAGAAAAACATCAGAAAACATAAATATGTGGGCTAACAAAAACAAAGTCTTTAAAATATAAAGTAGTGGTATTAATAATAATGTCTGTGAAGTCTAAAATACTTATAGAATATAGAGACAAGATATATATAGAATGTAGAAGTAAAATACATCACAACAATTAACACAAAAGGAAGAAGGGGGAAAGCAGATTTAAACTGTCATAAAATTCCTGCATTGTTGGGGAGTGGTAATACATCAATTTAAGGCAGTAAGTCAAAGATGGACACTATAATCTTTAAGGTAATCATAAAATGAATTTCTAAAAATCTCTAACAAACTAACAGAGGAGGAAAAAATGGACAAAAGACTTGGTTTATCAGAAGAAGACACAAAATACTGGAACCAAGAGGGTATAGGACAAAAATGTAAAAGAAATTGTAAGATGGCAGACTTAAAACCAGTAATAAATAATTACATTAACTGTAAATGGACAAGATATATTCCAATTAATGACAACTTTCCCACAAAGAAAACTGCTCATTCAAATGGTTTCAATGGTGAATTATTTTAAATAGGAGGAATAATATCAGGTGTAAACTCTGTCCAGAGTGTAAAAAAAGGGAACATATCTCCAACTTTGTTTTATGAGGTCAGGATAATCTCAATACCAAAACTTGACAAAAATATTAAAGAAAGAAAAATTACAGGTCTATCCTCCTCCTTTTTCTTCCTCTCTGCCCCCCCCCCTTTTTTTTTTTAAAGACAGTCTCCTGCTCTATTGCCCAGGTGGGAGTACAGTGACACAATCTTGGTTCACTGCAACCCCTGCTTCCTGGACTCAAGCAATTCTCCTACCTTAGCCTCCCGAGTAGTTGGGACTACAGGTGTACACCACCGCACTTAGATAATTTTTAAATTTTTTGTAGAGATGAGGTCTCAGTATGTTGCCTAGACTGGTCTCCAACTCCTAGGCTGAAGCAATCCTCCCTTCTTGGCCTCCCAAAGTGTTGAAATTACAGGTGTGAGATACCACACCCAGCTTAGGTCTATCCTTCTTATGACTCAAAAATCTTAGGCAAAATATTAGCAAACTATATCCATTGATATATGAAAAGAGTAATACATCATGAAAATGGAATTTGCTCTATTTTCAGCATTTCAAAATTAGTGTAACTTATCACTGTAGGGAAATAAAGAAAAAATACATGATTATCTCAATGGAGGCAGAAGAAATATTTAGTGAAAACTCTCTGAAAACTAGAAATAAAAAACAATCTGGCATATGATATCTATAAAAATTATGTAAAACATAATATTGAATAGTAAAATATTGAATTCTTATTTTGAGTTCAAGAAGTTAAAGAAGTCCATTGCCATTACTTCATTTAGCATTTTACTAGAGGTCCTGGTCTGCTCAATAAGGCAAGAAAAATAAAAATTGAAAAGGCAGAAATGAAACTATAATTATTTACAGAAGATATATCTGTAGACCTAAAGAAATCTAAAATAATATATAGAATTATTAGAATTAAAAAGTGAATTTAGCAAGGCTTCTAACTGCAAGGGCAATATACCAAAAACAATTCCTATATTTCTATAAACAAATTAAAAATAATTTGATAATAAAATAAAACTGTCAAAAACGTAGATATAAATCTAACCTCTACATGTAAATCTATAAAACTCTGGTGAGACGAATTAAATACCTAAGTAAACAGAGGGACATACCATGACCATGGATTGGAAAACTCAAAATTGTTAAGATATAATTTCTCCTGAAATTGATTTATACATTCAATGCAATACCAATTAAACCCTAACATCCCCTGCCATAAAAACCAACAAGGTGATTCTAAAATGTATATGGAAATGCAAAGGCAAAAGAAAGGTTTCAAAAAACAAAAGCTGAGAGAATTCATTGTCAGAAGACTGGCACTAAAGAGAATTCTCCAGGTGAAGGAAAATAATCCAGGTGGAAGTACAAAAGGCAGGATGGAAAGAAAAACACCAGAAAACATAAATATGTGGGTAAACAAACAATACAGAGTCTTCAAAATATACAGTAGTACTAATACCAAGTACTAATAGTCAAAACTATTAGAACCATTAGATCAAAGTTAGAGGTCTTACACTACCAGATATGAAGGCTTCATAAAAATTACAACTCAGCTTTTCAATACATTGTGGTGGATCAAGTGAATACTGATATGAAAAAACAAACTTTGGCTACTATTTCACATCATATACAAATATCAGCAGTAGACAGACTATAAGCCTGATGTGAATGGTAAAACAATAAAGCTTTTATTTTTATTTTTTTGAGATGGAGTCTCACTCTGTTGCTCAGGCTGGAGTGTAGTGGCGCGATCTCGGCTCACTGCAACCTCTGCCTTCTGGGTTTAAGCAACTCTCAATTCTCCTGCCTCAGCTTCCCAAGTAGCTGGAATTACAGGTGTGCACCATCACGCCTGGCTAATTTTTGCATTTTTAGTAGATGGAGTTTCACCATGTTGGCCAGGCTGGTCCAACTCCTGACCTCCAGTGATCCACCTGGATCAGCCTCCCAAAGCACTGGGATTACAGGCATGAGCCACCTCGCCCAGCCAATAAAGCTTTAGAAGAATATAAGAGTATCTTCATAACCTTCATGTGAGCATTCATTAAATATGACACAACATTATTAGCAATTAAATAAGATTGGTATATTGGACTTCATAAATTTTTTGGTCATCAAAGGAAAGCACTTAGGAAGTAGAAAAGCAAACTAAAAGAGAAGACATTTATGGTAATATATCAGACAAAAAAACCTCATGTCCATAAAACATAAAGGACTTTTGCAAGTCAATAAGAAAAAAAGACAACCCAATAAATATGAACAAATGACTTGAACAGGCACTTAACAATTGAGGATAGCCAAATGACCAACAAAATATAAAAAGGTGTTCCATACATCATTATTTATCAGGAAAATGCACCTTAAAACCTTAGTGAAATACACAATCACCAGAATGGCTAAAACCACAATCAAATATGCATTTGTCAGAATGGCTAAACTACTAGGGCTTATAGTACCAAGTACTGATGAGGATGTGGAACAACTAGAACCTTATACCTTATTGGTGGGTAAATTGATACAACCACTGTTGAAAACTATTTGGTAATATATTCTACAACTAAATGTATATTCATCTTGTGACTCAGTAGTTTCACTCCTTGTTTGCTTTTTGAGACAGGGTCTCACCCTGTCGCCTGGGATGGAGTGCAGTGGTGCGATCATGGCTCACTGCAGCCAGTTGTTTCACTTTTAAGTGTACACACAAGAGAAATGAGTGTACATGTCCACTAAAAGATACGTACAAGAATGCTTATGGCTGCTTTAAACATAAAAGCTAAAAACTATAAACAACCAAAATGTCTATCAATGGCAGAATGGATAAATTGTGATGTATTTATCTGATGGACTACTACACAGCAATGGAAAAGAACAAACTATTGTTATTGCTACATGCAACAACATAGATGCATTTCACAGACATAATGCTGATCAAATTAAACCAGACACAAAAATCTATAGACTGTATAATTCCATGTAGAGGAATGTCAACAACAGTGACAGAGGTCAGAATGGTGGTTATGTGTATTAACTGGGAGCCTCGTCTTGGTCTGAGTGATGGCTACATGGATGCATAAATATATAAACACTTTTTGAGCTGTATACTTAAGACCTGTGCACTTATGCCATGTTGCAATAACATTTTAAACAATATGATCACTATCTGTATGTAGTCTTAGTGCTTCATTTGGACTAGTCTCTTTGGCCACTGGATGTCAGTGTTTGGAGCAGTGGGCAGCAGGAAAAGCTCGGGAAGGAGTGGGAAAACAGAGGAGAGAGTTATCGTGTGGGCTTCCTAGAGAAAAATAACCACTTTATGAAGCTTGTAAGTTCCTTTATCTACACAGTAGACAAAACTTTATAAAGAGATTTGTCCAGGTCAGGCGTGGTAGTTCATTCCTGTAATCCAAGCACTTTGGGAGGCTGAGGTGGGTGGATCATGAGGTCAGGAGATCAAGACCAGCCTGGCCAACATGGTGAAACCCCACCTCTACTAAAAATACAAAAACTGGCTGGGCGTGGTGACATGTGCCTGTAGTCCTAGCTACTAAGGAGGCTGAGGCAAGAGAATTACTTGAACCTGGGAGACGGAGGTTGCAGTGAGCTGAGATCGTGTCACCGCACTCCAGCCTGGGCAACAAAAGTGAGACTCTATCTCAAAAAAAAGAAAAAAAAAAAAGAGAGAGAGAGATTTGTCCATATGGGTAATGAAATAACATTTTTGTAAAGTAGCCTTTTCTATGTTTATCGCAGATGTTTGTATCTCAGAGCTGAGTCTACTTGCTTTCTCACACGGCATCATTATTTCCTTATTCCTAATAACTTTCATCACAAACATTTCCCAGCTCTGTCCCAATCAAGTTCTTATTTCTCTGATCAGAATTACAATTTATAAATGTAGGTCCACATGTGGATATCTTAAGAAGCAGTGAATGAAATACCAGTGGAGAAATACACAAATGAGTGTGAACATATAATAGAAAAACAGAAAAACAATGCAAGAAAAAGTGCATGTACTGAGTATGGAATGAACTGATGCAGTTCATAAAGACAACTCAAAAGGCAACTCATGGTTGGGCACAGTGGCCAACACTGGGAGGCTGAGGCGGGAGGACTGCTTGAAATTAGGAGTCTAAGACTAGCCTGGGCACCATAATGAGAACTTGCAGCTATTAAAAAAAAAAAAAAAAAGAAAAAGAAAAACAGCCGGGCATGATGGCACATGCCTGTAGTCCCAGCTACTTAGGAGGCTGAGGTGTGAGGATTGCTTGAGCCCAGGGGGTAGAGGCTGCCGTGAGCTGCGATCACTCCACTGCACTCCAGGTGACAGAGTGAGACCCTGTCTCACACAAAGCCAATTCATTTGAGCTGAGGCTTGACTGTACTTTTAATTGCCCACATAGAAAAGAGGAAAAATAATGCTTTTCATCTTTTAAAATATTCCATTTACCTTTTAGTAAGACAAATTCTTATCTTTATGTAAAACTGTGAAAGAACAGTTACATAGATTATTGCAGCTTAGATTATTTTCAACAAGTTTAAATTCCACACGTAAGGATACATACCATTTTTACCAGCTATACTTTAAAATGTCAGTCTTTAAAAATTCTTCTATGTGTATATGTGGTTTCTTCTTCTTTTCAAAAATTCATGCCTGTGAAGTTTTTAGGAATATTTTTCAAAACTTCAGTACTGAAGCATTAACTTTTTATGTGATATAGCACCTTTAAATTTGTGTTTTTATTCACACAAGAGCATTATTGTACATTTAATCATTTCTTTTGCTAGTATTTATAATCTCAGCGAATAGGATAGCAGCATAGTACCTAAATTAAACTATTAGGAATAACTGGATGCCTACCACAGCAACAGAACTTTAATGAGGTTAATTATTATTATTGTTATTTTATTTTATTTTTTTTTGAGACGGAGTTTCACTCTTGCTACCCAGGCTGGAATGCAGTGGTGCGATCTCGGCTTACCGCAACTTCCGCCTCCTGGGTTCAAGCGATTCTCCTGCCTCAGCCTCCCGAGTAGCTGGGATTACAGGCATGTGCCACCACGCCCAGCTAATTTTTGTATTTTTAGTAGAGACGGGGTTTCACCATGTTGACCAGGATGGTCTTGATCTCTTGACCTCGTACCCGCCTTGGCCTCCCAAAGTGCTGGGATTACAGGCGTGAGCCACCTCGCCCGGCCCAATGAGGTTAATTATTACACACATATCCATTCCAACACAGCAGTGCATATTTTACATGACCAGCCCCTTATGTAGTTAAAAATAAAACTGCAGTTTTAAAATGTCAAGTTCCTCAACCTTACTGGATTTTAAAACAAAACAAACAAGAGAAACAAGGATTTTCTAATCTATCTACAAGCAGAAATGCCAGAAAATAAAGCTGCAGTATTCCATAGAGCTCAAATTTCCTTTTCTAAGTCATGACATTTCTCTTTCATTCTCTCTGTTTTCTTTTTCTTCTAAGATAAGAAAATGTAAAACATAAATGAAAAGATAAAAACTGCTTAATATGGCAAGGAACAAGAATGAAACTAGATTTTTTTTTTTTTAGTAAAGAGGCAAATTTTATACAACCGTAAAAATTAAAAATGAAAAACAATAATAGAAATAGCATAATGCTACAGACTATCCCAGTTTCCTGGGCTCTGAAGAAGAGCTGCTATACTAAATACTAACTTTATTTATCTGAAGTATTCAATACCTTCTGATAACCCAAGCAGCATTATATTAATAGCCGGAAAAATACTACAAAATGTCCTTCTACCTCTCCCAGAAGAAATACACCAGGAAACTGAAGCCTGATGAATAACTACCAAGAATCTTGTCTTGTATTACAAGTCTCCTTCTAAATACGAAATACTAGGTTTTTGTAATGTTAAAAGGAATAATGGAAAGGAAATGACTGGCAAGAAACATTTCCTAATTTGCAAGACACAAATAGTTGGAAGCCACTTTAGTTTCTTACTCCTTTTCAGCCTAATGGTAGGAAAATATTAGGCACCTACTGAATTCACAAATTCATGAAACAGGGTGGACAATAGCCTTGAG